ATCTTCAAATTGAAATTTTTGTAATGCTATTACATCATTCTAAAAACAAAAAGAATGCAATTTTTAATGTCAATAATATTATTGTATTAATAATCATATTAAATACAATATTACACTTACTTTCCCAGATGGAAAACCAGAAATATCAAGTGCTTTCTCAACGCGTTTACGATCTTCTTTATTTTGTGTAAACAGTCGTATTATGCTAAAATATATGAGATATATGTATATATAAATATTATATATATATAAATATATATATATATAAATATATATAAATATTATATATATATATAAATTGTGCTTACTTCTTCACAGGAATTTTTTCCGACTTATCAGCTGCAAGTGTAAGTTTAGTGTGTGCTTTTTGTAAAAACATAGTTGTGCTGATATTTAGTAAAGATAAATTATATGCGAGCTGGAAAATTTGTTCTGTCCAATGTTGTGCAACTTCTGCTCGTGTTGTACAGAAGTTAATAAAATTCATATTGACAAAATCAGATCCATAGCAAATTGTTACTGTCTTTTCTTCTAAAGAATCTTGAGAACCCATTGTCACAAGATATCTCAGTTTAGGATCCTGAAAATCATCCACTTATTTGAGCATATTAATAAAATACTATATCATATTATTTATATTTCAATGCAATGAAATTAACTTATGCACATTATAGAAATAACAATAGCTTTTACTACAATAAGCTACTGGTATAAACTGAACCTACGAACAATGTCATTTTACAAAATGTTTATTGATTTATAGGAAAATGGAACAGATAAGAACTACTCTGCTTCCTATACAACTAAGAATATTTCCATTGTGTACCAAGATAGGTGTGACTGAAAAAAATGAACTACATTGAAGACATAAAGTAGGTAATACTCTATTTATAGATTTGTCAATAATTATCATGTGGTGGTGCTGTGCGTCATTAGCAACCACGCAAAAACATGATATAATTATAGAAAAGCAAAACAATTTCATTTCCAAATATTTATACCTAATGCTGAACTAATGAAACATTTCACTAATTTTACTTTAGGCTTTGATGGTATCAATCAAAGTTGCTTAAATTAAAGAATAAGAAACTAAAATACATTAATTACAAAAGAAACAAAAACAAAAAGAACAATTTAAAATACCTTTGGTACTTTTGCATATTTCCCAGTTCTAGTATCTCTTATTACTGCAATATCCAACATATCCATCTCATTATGTTGGTCCACCCAATGCAGATAAAATCCAAACTTGTCTACCTTCAATGTTACTGGAGTTGCTATACCAGAATCCTATATATAAATGTAAATAAAACTAATCATATCATGCATACATAGCTTGCCTCTTACAATTTGATCACACAATCTAAAATATTCTACTACGATTTGACTTTGTAACTCATACCTCATCCCATTTGATGAATTTCTCTCCATCTTGTAATTGTTGAGATACTTCAATGGGTCTAAATTGCAAGATGCTACCAGCTGTCTTGTTATTCGCCATTCTGCCCCAAGAATACTGCGAGTAGTTGATATAGAGATAATATTACTTCTTAGCACGAATGCACTGATAAAGGAGCAAGTGATGCAGGCTGATTATGCCAATGGCAACAATAACAAGCACAAAGACGTTGATAACCACAATGACAATGACGATGATGTCAATGGCTGTAACGAAAACGACGTCGATGACAGCGGCAATACAGAACAAAACGGTGAGGATGATGACGGTGTCGATGACAGCAATGGCACCAGTAACGACAACGACAACGACAACGACAACGACAACGACAACGACAACGACAATGACAATGACAATGACAACGACAACGACAACGACGCCGACGACGGCGCCGACAACGACGGCGCCGACAACGACGGCGACGGCGACGGCGACGGCGACGGCGACGGCGACGGCGACGACGACGGCGACGACGACGGCGACGGCGACGGCGACGGCGACGGCGACGGCGACGACGACGGCGACGACGACGGCGACGGCGACGACGACGGCGACGACGACGGCGACGACGACGGCGACGACGACGGCGACGACGACGGCGACGACGACGACGACGACGACGACGACGACGACGGCGACGGCGACGACGACGACGACGACGGCGACGGCGACGGCGACGACGACGGCGGTAAAGGCGATGTAAATCTCATCGAGAATTTCTTAAGTATTAGATGCACCTCGTAAACCACCTTACCTTGACAGGTGCCGTTGTTTGATCATCCGTAATAAAGAGTGCGATTCTGTTTTGACGACGACGCCGTCGCCGTTGTCGTAAATTTCTGGCGGGTATCGTCTTGTGAATATCGATAACGAGTACGTGGTGTTTTCGGTAAACATCGACGTCAATCCCTGGTTAATTAAATGTTTTGAAGGGAAACGGAATCACGAGATTGCCAAATCACTGTCTAGTATCACAATAAAAATAAAAAAAGTAATTTAACACATATGCTCCGCAGTAAAAGGAACTTATAGTTGATATGCACCGCGAAAGTTTTCGTACTTCTGAGCATTCGCGCACTCACTTGGTCCAGAAGAACATTCTTCCGCGCGCCGTACCGGAGATGTTCCGAGCAAATCCTCCTCCCGTCATCCGTCACCCACTACCCTCGTCGCCAGGAGGCGCTCAAACGGTTTCACAAACCATCAGATTATACGAGAACGCACTACACGTGCGCCTATCGCGCTCAAATTGATTTTAATGCGAACCGTGATATTCAATAATCACACGACTTACGGTTATTTTAACGCTGTTTTGATCCTGCGATTTTCCACAAATATTCTTCTACTTTTAATTAACTATTGTACACCATCTATAATCGTGACCTTTTTCCTCCTAAATATTATACATATATTGTTTGAACGCAATTCAAAGATTTCGGCAAACTTTGATACTAATTCTGGTCTTATCTAAAAATAAGCGCATACTCTCCATGTAGAAAAAGAACTAATCAGCTGCACCGAGTTCATTAAATCGATCTAATCTTACACTGTAACCAGTAAAGCCGATTCAATTTGATTTAACGAGCTGATGGATAAACGCGTTATTATTTTTCTATATTTTAATAAGATTAGAATATTTACGTTAAATAAAGTTAATTTCTGAGATTGTTTTAACATTTCTTTTCTTTCTGGTTTATGTAATATTAAAGTTAAATAATTATTTTTATCTATTAAATGTCTATTAACAATAAAATTGAAATAATTTCTTTACAATGTATAGCATATATAGATATAATTACAATTAAACTTTTAACTTCTACTATAATTTTATGGAAGTTTTATATTCAAGAAATTTTAGTTATTACAAATACAATATAAATGAAGGATAAGTGTATTTTATATATGTATAATATATGTATATATTATATATATTATATATAATATATATGTATGTACAATACAATAAGGCATTTTATATATGTTAACAAATTTTCATTTGGTATTTATAATACAGAAATAAATAAATAGTCAAATATGACTAAAATAAAAGGCAACGTACAAAAGTTTAAATATTATCATCGCTATTAATTTGTATGTAACAATCCTTCATCATTTCTGTTAATTGGATCTCCTTTTAGTAACGCAATAATCATGCTGAAAGATATAAATTACAAATAATAAAAGATATTAACTTGATTTTAATGGTAATTAATAAACAATTAAAAATATACCTACCAGTAAAGATAAATAAAAAAGAAAATTAAATAATATCCAAGATAGATCATACAGTCTCTTGTATGCCTTTTTAATTGTCCACGATTATGTATTTCTGTGGGATCATAAACTCCCATATTACCACTTGGTACTCCAAAATATTCATAGAGCAACCACAGTGTCATAGGCAAATTCACTAAACACAATATTAATTGTCCATGTGTTAATAATAAAAATTCTAAGAATGAATGTGCTACAAGCTTTGGTACAACCCACTGTAAAATATAATTTAAAATATGTTTTATTATATTTATATCATTTATAATGGTAATAATGGTAATAGTATTATAAAATGTAATTACCGTGTTTAACTTTGAACAACACTGTTGAGCATTCAAATAATCACATTCTAAGTCTGATAAAGTTATGACCTACATGTATGTATATATATATATATATATATATTTAAGATAAGGAACTTTATTGTATGTTTTTTATTAACAAAAGACATAAATTGTGTTTTAAAATTAAATGTGGCGCTATTATATTAGTGTAATATCATAAAAATCCCTAGATATATTTTCAATAAACTATATGCGTAAAATTCAATGATGGAATTATAAAGTTGTGAAAACAATAAAATATAAATACTACAATTTCTCGTTAGGCTACAAAATATAAAAAGGATACAAAATATACCAAAAGGAAAAGTACTAAACCGGTATCAATTAAAGCTAATACAAACAACAGCGGCTCAGATATTAGACCCATCTTAATGACCTATTAATATAAATAGACGTTAGATAGCATTAGCATCGAATCTATGATTCATGTGTGCCTTTCTCTAAGGTAGAATCACTTGAAATGCTTTCCACGTGCAAAGTTCAATAAACCTAAGAGAAACTGAAATGACCGATTGTCAAAATGGACAAAATGAACAACTCACGGTACTACCAACTATCGAAAATATTTTCTAAACTTTGAAGTAGTGATAGTAATACCCATTTTCAAATTAATATCCCTAGCTATCGTTGACAGGGAAATGGAAATTCTCTATAATGGAAATATCGTCATATTCATAATTTTTGTCGTGATTTTTATGTTTAATTATTAAAGCTAATAGAAAACTGATAAAAAAATTATTATTCTCATATTTTCAATTGTTTTTAAAAATAATCGTTCCTATCATATATAAAAATTATAAGACGACTAAAATTTTTAGATTGTCAAGTCTGTATAAAATTTTGTCTATGTTTATATTTTCAAATCAATAAAGTAAAACGTAAATAATTATGCACAAATTATTTATTTAATAAATTGAAATGTATATTTCATATATAAATATAAATATTATTCGTAAATTATTTATATGAATCTTCAAAATAATACAATATAAAAGGTAAATGTTTATCTTTACAAATAGATTTTATTCAAATATATTTGTTGCCTGTAAAAAATATGCATATTATAATATAAAATAATAATTACAGCAATGTTTCGAGACGCTCCAAAGATCCTTATAGAAGATGGATCTTCTCCGTCTGCTTCTTATGTTATGTATGTTAGAATGGAAGATTTACTAGAAAAATTAAAATTGTTAAATTATGATATTGAATTTCTACCAGAGTTTAAAATCAAGGCTATAAATAGGTAGTATAAATAATTACAATTATTGTAATTAAATATACAAACATTTTAATTTTAAAACTATTAATTCTAATTTTAAAATTATTAATTTAAAATATAGGAATTATTTTGTAACACAGACAAATCCAGGAGAGCAATTTTATACATTTACATTGTTAGCTGCATGGTTAATTAGAAAAGCAGGTGGAAAGTTTGAAGCTCCACAAGAATCAGATGATCCTAATGCTACAATAGCCATAATCCTGGATTATTTAAGAGATACTAATGTATCAATAGAATTTCCACCTAATAAGCTTAAACAAGGGAGTGGTGAACATGCCATTTATGTTTTAGATAATTTAGCAGATGAAGCATTAAAAGCACAAAAGTTTCAATGGAAAAAGTAAACTTAAAAAAATATTCTTAATCTCTCAAGTATTATAGTTTATTATTGAAATCGGCAGTATGTGATTATAATCATTATATTCATAATTCCCATTGTATTTTGATTTTGGTTATGACATATATACACAGTATAATCAGTTGAGAGAAGTTAATAATGACATTATAAATGCAATTATACATTACATATGTAAATATTTTAGAGTACAAATATCACCCGACGAACCAAGTAATGAACCAGATATAGAAGATGACGATGCGGAGTTAATTTTAGAAAAAGTAGAAGAGGAAATGATGGCTGAATATGATGATGAAGATGAGGATATTTTACATGTTGATGATATTACAAAACTATATGGGCAAAACTTTGTAAGTAATTCATGTATGTGTAAAACGTGGAATTTATGCATTTCAATTTTCATTTCTTTTCATTCTAATATTTTTTTTAGAATGAAATGCAAAAACCTGATGATATTTTAGAATCTAAAACAAATAGAGAAGAGTGGCAATTAGAATTAGAAAGAGTTTTGCCTCAACTCAAAGTAACGATAAAAACAGGTACTAAATGTCTAAGTAAGAATTAAGAAAGGAAAATTAACAGGGAAGGATTTATTTCAGATTCAAGAGACTGGAGATCACATATAGAGCAAATGAAACAATTACGTACAAATATAGCAACAAATTTAACTGGAACCAAAAGTCAATTAGATAAACTACATATTGATATATCTAATACTTTAGATAAAATAAAAACAAGAGAATCTTATTTAAATAGACAACTTGAGTCTAGTTTGAAGCAATACCAAATGCTTCAAGATGAATTGTCAAAAATTAAAGAACAATATCGAGATGCTAGTGGAGGTGTTACAGAGAGAACCAGAATTTTTAATAAATTATCAGAAGAATTGGAACATGTAAAAAAAGAAATGGATGAACGAGGATCGAGTATGACAGATGGAAGTAAGTAATTTTAATTTTATAATGTTATGTAAAAAATGTCTCACTCATCGATTTCCTTATAGCGCCGCTCATAAATATAAAAAAGACGATTACTAAAATGAAAACTGAAATTTCCGAAATGAATATTCGAATTGGCGTATTAGAATATAGTTTAATGTGTGCGAGAATACGTGATCGCACACAATTTCAAGAAGATATGAATAATCAAAATACTATCACTATAAGTTGAGATAACGTACAAATAGTATTGTTATCATCATAATGGTATCGTCTTATCATAAATTTTTAACAACACTGAAACAAAAAATATTAGTTTCCTTTTGTGTAAGTTACATACTATTTATTTAGTTTCTCACTCTAATAATAATCTTTAGGGTCCAATGATGTATTTATTTCATCCTATTTATAAGATTTATATGCACCAATATATAATACAATGTTTTTTTATGATGAAATTAATGATGTTAAATAAAATTATGTAATAATTCAAAATACTTTCAAAATATTTCTTTATTCCTATATTTATTTTTGAAAGATATTTATTTATGTAATATTTTTTAAGATAAAGATATAATTTGAGATAGATATTCTTTTTGGTATTTGGCAACTTGAATTATTTGAACCTAATAAACACCGGACTGGAAAAGGGGAATTGCTTTGATGATGAGCTATTTGACTATCAAACGATCCCTCCCCTTTCAGCAATTTCTCAGTCTTGCGAAGTAGCCAGTCGAAGGTTTTGCGCAGGCCAGTCGTAGTGTAATCTTTCGTTACCATTGGACGTAAAATTCACATATTTTAAAAGCACGGCGGTATGTGATTAGTGATAATAGTTTACAACACCGTTACATCTATCTTTCAATAAAAATCATTCAATAATCAAGCAGGTTTGTAATTATTTTTATTATCTAAATTATAATTATTTCGTAGCTACATGTTCCTAATTTTTTTAATATAATTGCTTGAGTAACGACTCGTCAAAATCGTTTGCAATTAAATTAATAAAATCGCTAGCAATGAAAATATAAATACATAATGTTATATAAATAGAAATTTAATAATATCAGTAATATACGTAAACAAAGTGTTATTTGAAAGTCATTAACTCGTGTATCTCTCCAGCGAACACTTTCTTTCCAGTTTTAAATATTGCTTTATGCGTTTATAGTACTCGCGTAACTTTCTTCAACTTTCACCGATGTTCTTACGTATATTTTCAAAGAGATTCGCTTCATTTTAGTACACTAAAACAACACATTATATTCGCAACAATATTATATTCCAATAATATGTTTACTTTTAAATAAATTATTTAAAGTAATTGACCAAATGCTTTTACTCATTAATAAAGTAACAAAATTTAATTTAGAGTAAAGTATAAAGTAATTAAAGAATAAAGTAGTAGTTTTACTTTAGTAATTTATAGTTTATTATGAATGACATGTTTGTACTTAATTCATTATATATTTTTTATTGATTAATTATCGTTAATTGTTGATTAATAACAATAAAATTATTGAGATTTGTCAATTTTCGTGTGATCTCATTATGCATTAATTAAAATAGAATGATTAATTTATACTTGAATAAGTAATATCTGACTCATGCCTATGATACATAAATAGTACCAGATCAAACTATTCAAACAATATGTTTCATGTATTTTGCAAATTATGTTCACTAACTATTTCCATATTTATTTTACAATTAACTGACTTTGATCATTGATCGAACTTGAACTTTGTTCAATGTATGATAATAAATAATAAATAATCCGCTAATCTACAAATTATCGATTCTTAAATCTTTCCGTTAAATGACTAATAATGAAATTAAATTAAATTTTTATTTGTATAAAAAGGTTTCGTATTATTTATTATTATTATTATTATTATTTATTATTCTTTGAAAAGAATACTCAGAGTCAGTAAAAATATTCTATTTTGAGTTTATTAGTCATTGCTTTTTATGTTTCCGCAGAATCTATAAAATGCGTGATAATTTCATTAAACTTTGCACTTATATTCTTTATGCAAGTAGCAGATGCAAATTCTCGTTTTGGCGTTAATAGAAAGCGATTAGATAACTGGATATACTTGCATAAATATGAATTTTTCAAATACATTTATGAAGTCAATAACTAATCGATTATTTTTCATAATCTAAAATGTAAAATATAAAACAAAGGAACTTGTGATTATATAATGATCCGAGCTATTTTATAGTTTTAACTATATTATTAACTAAAATAATACAATTGATATGAAAATTAACATGAAAGGTACACATCAAATTCAAATGGATAAAGTGAATATTGCAAGAAATAAAAAGAATTAATGTATATTATTATCTCTAAAATGTTATTGAAAAAAAGTAATCGTTGAATATATCAAGAATTTGCAGAGAATTTTTGTAAAATATTTGTAAACTGATTGACTAAAAATAGAATTTTTAGTAAGAACAATTTTTATGAAAAAAGAAAATTCCGTGTAAGTATCACTACTGATTGTAAAACCATTTCAAAATTAAATAAGAAATCATTGGTGTTCAATAATTACAGAATTATGAAACTTCATGCTTATAAGAAACAAAAAAAGATAATAAGTTTTCAAATATTGGCGCTATATTCTAAAATGCATCACGCGCAGATGTTTACTGTCCATGCTTATAAACGTCTGGACAGTCCATCGTCGTATTATTTCTTGTTAATTATATATTACAATAAAAATATTATTTAAAATGTTTCTTAATGCGTGTTCAGCATTATTTATCTTTTATCTCTATGATATTACATTTTAATTATTAGGAAGATATTTTAAATTATGCTACCATAATCTTATTTTGGGTATGTTACATATGATATTTATTTAACCCATAATTTTTATTGTATGTACTGATTTATATCGCTAGAAATAAATAAAACGTGGATCATATCATTTGTATATTTAAATAAAAAATACTACAACTAAAGAGTCGCTTATTTAACCATTATGTTCACAAACATACAACATTATATTCAATTTGTATTCACAATACAATATGTATTTAATCGAGATTTACTAATCAATTAACAAACATGATATTAATAACTTCTATTTATATAATTATATTGTATACTTATTTGTAAACAAATTTTGATAAGGAATATTATCTTTTTTCAGGTTAAAATAATCAAACAAAATGATGAGGATTGGTAAAAAACTTATTATTATTTTCTCAATAGGCTTAGTATTAATAATTTTTGGATTAACTACTGGAATTTGTTGGTCTATGATTTATTCATCAATTTTAAATGCAGTAAGTGTAGACTTGTAGATTTATATGAAGAATTATACTTTATAGTTCTCATTATTGCTTATATATTTTTTTATAGGAATTATCTTTAACACCAACATCCACAAGTTATAAGCTTTGGAAAGAAACACCTATTCCTATGTATCTGAAAATATATATGTTCAATTTAACTAACTATGAAGATTTTATTTCAAGTAATGAATCTAAAGTTAAACCAAATTTTGTGGAAATGGGTCCTTATGTATTTAGGTATAAAATTTACATCATATATTGTGATTTTTATTAATTAAGTTTTTATTAACTACAAAACATTTTGTAATTTTTTATTAACAGGGAAGTTGACTATAAGGTAGGACAAATATGGAATGACAATGATACCATAACATATCAAAGGAAAAGAGTATGGCATTTTGATAAATCTTTATCAGTAGGAAGTTTAGATGATAATGTAACTAATATAAATCCAATAACTGCTGTACGCATCTTTTAGTATTACATATGTTGTATACTGTGCTTTATCTTTTTACAATATGTTTTTTTTTCTAACATTTTTAGAGTGTTGCATATGCATTAAGACAAAAAAAACCTATTTTCCGTGATATAATAGATAGGATGATGAAAGCTATGGGACAAAAGTTAATAATTACGAAATCTGTTAATGAATTACTTTTTGAAGGATATGAAGATACTATGTTAAAAATTGCACGAAAAATGAATTTCAGTCAAATTCCATTTAACAAATTTGCTTGGTTTTATGAGGTGAATTTTATATTATTATAATTTAACATTATTAAAGAGATATAATTGCAAAAATGTCTTATTTGTAGCGAAATGGTTCTGCATCATATGATGGAACATATAATATGCTAACTGGTAAATCCAATTTACTTGATGTAGGAATAGTCAAACAATGGAATTTTAAGAGCAAAGTAAGTTATTACCCTAAAAATTGTGGAGAAGTGAAAGGAACAAATGGTGATTTATGGCCACCATTACCTAACAATAAAACTATTACTTTCTTTGTACCTGACATTTGCACGTAAGTTTAATTTTTTATTAAAATTGCGGAAAATAAAATAAATGCATACTAATTTTAGCAATTATGTAATAGGAGTATGTCAGTAACATACGAAAATACAACCGTTCATGAAGGATTGACAGGAGTTAAATATATTAGTGATAATACAATACTTGATAATGGTACAATAGTAGACTCGCGTCTATGTTATTATGACAGAGAACACATTCCCTCTGGAGTATTAAATATTTCATTATGCAAATGGGGTGCTCCAGCATTTATTAGTTTACCACACTTTTATTTGGCCGATCCAATTTACAGAGAAAATATCGACGGAATGAAACCTAGTAAAGAAAAACACGAACTTTCAATATCCATAGAACCGGTAATTATTGTAAAACAATAAATATCAACAAGTATTGTATACTATGTATAGAAAAATTTTTTTATAGAAAACTGGTGTTCCATTGAACGTGCATGCACAGTTACAATTAAATTTGTTGGTGCAACATGACCCTGTGATGTCGTAAGTCTTATTTTATTATTTTATTACGTAATTTATTGAAATGAAATTTAAACAGAGTTATACACTTTCATTTTCAGCATGTTTAAGAACATTAAAACGACATTTGTACCTATGATATGGTTTACTCAAGAAGCTTCTTTGACAGCTGATTATGCTCGTATAATTAAATTTATCAATATTTTGGAAACTTTGGGTAGCATAACTAGTTATGGAATTGCCTGTATTGGCGTTTTAATTGTTTCTATTGGCATATTCTTATATATTAAACACGGCTTCAGTGGAGAAGAAAATCAAGTTTTATTATCAAGTAAATCTAACGAAAATGATGGCATTGCTACTATTAATGAATGATCAAGTATATTTACAGACATATTAAATTATATAAAGTGAATATAATTGGTAATCGTCAAATAAAAAACAAAAATCATTTTTAAAGTTCAAGAGCGTATCATACGACATATATGTATGACATATGATATATAGATTCTGAATCTTACAGCATATCTTCCTGTTTAAAATATATAATAAAAATGACGATAATGTCAAAGTGATAGCAAGAAGATAGTATTCATAAAAAGTTAGAACATTATACAAGTCGTTTATAAACTTTGAAAAATGTGCTTTTAAAATGTAATTATAATGGTAATCAAGTGCCTCACTGCTTTAATAATGATAGACATTAGAAATAGTGTAAAATAAATTAGATATCTTAAATACTTCAAAGTGATATACATATAATATATGTGCAATTTAATCTCAACTTAAATTTTCTTTCTTAAACAAAGAATAGAAATTTATTCTTAATCCTGTCTACAATATTTTTTCAATGATTCAAAGCATATATTATATTCTAGGTGTATATATTTTTATCTATGAAATATGCAGAAATAACGAGTATTAGAATCAAGTTTATTAAATTTAATTCATGTTAATTATGTAGTTAAAGTTATAACAGTTACAATACTGTTACAGCTGTGATAACTAGAGTCTTCTTTCGCTAGAATAAGAATTCTTAGAAAATAAAAACATTACTTTTATACAATATAGAATGTTGAAAGTAAATTACATTTTCGTCATATTCTGTCCTTATTACTTCCTTAGTCCATCATTAAAATATCTATGAAACTTAACTGTCGCTAATGTTTTTTTTTTTTTTTTTTTTTTTTTTTTTTT